TATACATTTGCAGCTACAGACTCAGTTAAGGAAAGAAACTCACGTCAGTAGGGCTAATGTGATTAAAAGACATTTGAACTCTCTATAATGCAAGACAGGCGTGCTCATCGGAAAAATCCTAGAGGTTGTTTCAAGGCTTACCAAACAGATGAAACATGAGTGACACCTTGAGTAAAGGTCTTGTTCTCTAGGTGGGGAAACAGCCTTTTCAATTTTTGGTTCAATCTGTGGGGTTATGGGATCTTTTCCCCACCTCATTATAGGGGCTTTGAATTTAAGAACTGAAACTGACCTTTAGAATCGCTCCTCTCATTTTATAGATGAGAAAACAAAGTCTCAGAAGTGTTTCCTGACTTACCCAAGGCCACACAGCTTGTCAGTGGTGAGACCATGTTGAAGGCAAGACTTCTTGCTAATGAAGTGGCAAGGTGACAACCGTCTCTCTTTTTAAGGAGGAGAAAGGGCTGCTTCTTTGCTTGCTGCTAATAATGAAATGAAAGCAGTACTTTGGAAGTACGAACAGGATGGGATTATGCTGTGGATAAAGGATAAATTATAGAGGAAATAAAGTCTGTTATTGTCAGGGAAAATGAAACCGACTGCTCCTCTCCATCTGACCCTCAGGGATATACGAGAAATGGTTGTCTTCTAATCCTTCTATCCTTTCTTCTTGTACAAGGTGTTTTAAAGTAACAAGGGAACTGGGTTCTAGTTCAGTGAGTTTCAAACTGTGCTCCCCAAAGCCCAGCAGAGGTGACAAGGGAACTGAGGGGACCGGATTCTACACCCCTTCTCGCCACCCTATCCTGCACCCAAGAGAGCCCCACTTCCTTCTACCTGCTTTGGACATTGGAGTTCTGGGTGGACTTTTGTTCAAAGAGAAAACAAACTCTTCAAAGAAGAACTTTGAGAACTACCCACTTGGTTTAATCCTCCCACTGAATTACAGTGTAGGAAGCTGAGAGGAATCCACTGGCCTCTTCTTGCTACCATGGGACCACCCCGCTTCCCTTTCCAGTAGCTCGGTCCCATCCTCTCGGACCCACCTCTGACCACAACCTGACTCCAGTCCCATGTTCAGCCAGTCCTAAATTTCCCTGTTTGGGCCAAGGACGTTTTCCTTCCATTCAGCTAAGCCCGGGATAGGACTGTTCTTTTGCTGGGGGACTGCCAGCAGGCTGTTGCCTGGTGTCTCCTGGTGCCTCCGCCCGGCCTGGGGTGAGCCATTGTAATTCTAATTATTCAAAAGTATTCGCAGCCATCAGGGTTTCCTTAGTGAACCTTAGTGTCAAGCGCAGGCCCTACAGGGTTCCTTTAGAACAACTCCAGCTGAATTTCCTTAGAAGGCAGACCAGATTTTAAAAAATATTTTCTTTTCCTTCTCATTACTTCCTAAAAATCATATATTACCAAGGAACTAGTGGTTTGGCTTAAATTTAGGTTCCTGAGAAGGGTGGGTTCCTTCGGAAGCCGGCAGAGTGAGTGGCTCAGAATTGCCCGCCGGCGGGTACAAAATCACTTTACCTGATGCAGAGCCCGGTTACCTCTAGGCGGCTTCAGATGGTGCCTCAGCCACCAGCAAAGATGAGGGCACCTGAGGAGGAGAGGAAAACAAAACAAAAAAACAGAGAGAGACTGGAGGATATAAATGTCAGAAATCATCTGACATTTCACATGTCAAGTAAAAACACCTAAATGCTCATCATGGGGGAAAAAAAAAAATCAGACCTTCCGGACTTGAGGACTTACTGTTCCCCTTCTTTCCAATTAGGTCTAGAGGTGTCCCCTTAATCCTTTTATTCTGCCCCCCTCCCAGGTCTTTATCTGGCCTGAGCTGGCTCGTGCCTCGGGCTGCCCTCACAGATGGAGGAGAAAAGCCTCTCTGAACCGCCCCAGCCAGGGTCTGCCTTCTTTTTGGGAAATGAATTTGCCCCAGGTGAAAGGTACTCACGAAATAGTTGAAGAAAGAAGTCCCTTGTCAACTCACTGAACAGGCCCGGTGGCTCCAACTTCCACGGGGTCCACTTCCCTTCTGTATGTGGAGATTGGCCTAAAGGGATTTGCCCTTGAGTTCAACTCTCTTTTGGCTCTGCCCGGACTCCTCTGACACAGGACAGACAGCATTTATGCTGTTCCTTCTGGGACACAAGACAGACCCCCCAGAGTAACGGGCGGTAGCGCTCTTTAGAGTTCATTTCTACTGGGGGCGTGTTTGTGTTCAAGAAATGAAGATCCCCAAACCTGGAAACGAGATATCAGTGATCAAGAAGACGTGTGGAAGGATTCAGTGTGTTTTCTTTACAAGTTTTACTGATATCTTTCCAGGATTCAGTTCTCTCCAAGAAAAACAGAGGCAAAAATGATAGTATTTATCTTGGTGGCTATGTGTCTGTGCAAACGACGTGTGATATTTTACGAGCGGGTGTGAAAGCGTGTACGGGCCTGAAGTGTGACTTTCTAATAGATGTGTGTCCCTGACTTCTGCTCGGTATCTATGTGTGTGTGTCTGCTTTTCAGTGTGTGTGCCATCCAAACAGGAATGCGAGTTTATACAGGCTTGGGTATTGAAAGGGTTAACTACACCAAAGCAAAGCAGATGTTTTAATGAGTGTTCAAAAATTTTAATAAAATGCCTTGATTTTCTTCAGATAAAGAAAGGACAGGAAAAAAAAAAAAAAAGAAACGAGTTACTCCTTTTTCTTTCCATTAAGTTTTTACTGTGGAAAATACAGACTATCCGCTATGGGTTATACGTAATTTCAATTTTTTCTGAGTGGGGAAGTGGTTACTCCTGGTGTGGATGAGAAATGAAACCTTCCTATGAGGAAGTTTCCTGCCTTGATTGCTGCTTATGTGTGCCTGGTCTGATTCCTAAAAAAGCTTGAACTTGGGGAGAAAGGGGGGATTGAGGGAGAAGTTCTCCTTTTGGGAGTGGCTGGAGAGGAGAGCAGGGAGGGAGAGGGAGGGAGAGAGTGTGGGTGATGTAGAAACCATCACAGGAGCTCAGCTCCCATTCCTTCTGGAGAGTTCCAAGGCGAACGGGGTGGTTTGGGGGTGAGTCTGCTAGTCAGGGCTACAGTCTTGAGCAAAACAGCTGGCAGAGAGCTCTACCGGGGAGAAAACCCCTCCCCCTCCCAGCCTGGTAAGAGCAGCTGGTGATCTGAAGTCCCCACACCTCTGCTTTCTCAGAGGTTCCTTCTCAGCCCCATCGCATGTGCACGAGCCAGCACCAACTGGCCCCAGTTTGACTTGCTGGAAGGTGCTGGGCGCCCAGCATGGCCCGGGGTGTGGGCAAGCCTGCGGAGATTGGCTGCGGAGGAATGGGCGGTCCAGGCCCGGGGTGGGGGCTCCTCTCTGTCCGCGGGAGGGCTGAGCCTATTGTCCTGCAGGACTGGGGAGGGTGCAGGGTCATTAGTTAGAGGATGGTGTGGGCTCTGCTAGCCAGAGGAAATGGCCTGCTTTTGTTTTCCACCCAGTAGGAAATGGAACCCGAATCCATTAGATTCTGGGCAGTTCAACACGGCACAGTTTGAGCTCGCAGAGGCACGATGCCTAAAAGGCTACTTGTGCGGATCTGTGTGTCCCACCGCCATTGTGCGGCCTGCCCATCTTTTATGCATTTAAAGCCTGTCAGGCTGGTAATCTAAAGCAGAGGTCTGGAAGACAGTAATGCCAACAGACATGGGGAATAGTAAAGTGCACCTGTAGAGTTAAAAAATGCATGACCCTTTCCCTCAAAGAGCGAACGCAGGAGAAAGAGCCCGTCCTGTAGGGTAGATGCTGAGACGTGATACATAATTCACGGGCCCACGCTGCTCCATGCAGATGGCGATATTAAATCCTGATTGATGCTCAGAGAGGCACACATCGCAGGAAGGTCTCCGGGAGGCTTCTGAATATTTCCAGGTCTCTCGTGCCTTCCCGTCCTCGGTTCTAAGGTGGTATTAAGCAAAACCCCCCATTTCCCCGAACCCCTCCTGGGGATTACACTCCCAAATAGATGAGATTCTTCAAATGTCATCACCCACCTTTTCTGCCTTTGAAGTCGCCCCCTTGCCTCTTGGCCCACAGGAAGCTGTTTACCTCCAGCCGGGCACTGCTGGGAAGAGGGGCGGCTACCCCCCTGCAGTGGCCTTTCAAGTGGCTGGTGACTGGTTGGCCTGGAAAAGGCAGCAGCACACTCTGGTGGTGGTGACGAGGCAGGAGGGCCGGTGGGCAGAAAGCAAGGGAAAAACACAAAGCACTTTTGTGGGAGCTCTGAGGTCAGAGCCAGTGAATTCTCTAATGCAGATTTTTTCCACTCGGTGTATAATGAAATAATAAATCAAATTTGTGGTGTATGTGGAATTAAATGTTTGGGGTTTTTGCTTTTTTTTTCTTAAAAAAAAAAAAAAAGAAGAAGAAGAAACTAAAATCACCCTCCAGGGCCTATTCTGGCCCAAAGCTGAAAGTGTTTCCTCCATATCACATGTAATTGTTACCAGGCTTGCTTGTGGGTCGGCACCACAAAACCACTATTGTCACTTCCCGGAGCCGTTGCTTCTGGCTGCCTGGGCTGGGCTGGGAGACGCTGACTGAAATGAAGGATTTATGAGATAAAGATAGAGAGGAGAGGTTTGAACAAGAAGGGCCAAGGAGAGGAGACAAGGAAAGGCAGGGGGCAAGTTACATTTATAGCTCTCTTGTTTGTTTCACATCAGCGCATATAATTGGGAATATTTATGATCATTTTCTGGAATATTTTCATTTGGGGAACGTGTGTGATTGTGCCCATCTGTGTGTGTGTGTGTGTGTGTGTGTGTGTGTGTGTGGTGAGTGGCAGGGAAGATGAGTTGAAGTAATCTCTTCCACTGAGTGAGTAAGTAGGTTAGTCTTCTGGACTGCCATAAAAGGTTTGTAAAACAGTTTTAATCAGCCAGTGGTAGGGAAGAGAAGGGGGGAGACAAAAAAGAGGCCGTAGCATATTTGAAGTTCTTTGGGTTCTTTGACTTTTCTTTCAGACTCACCCTGTGGAGGTCGTTTGAATTCCAAAGATGCTGGCTACATCACCTCCCCCGGTTACCCCCAGGATTACCCATCCCACCAGAACTGCGAGTGGATTGTTTACGCCCCTGAGCCCAACCAGAAGATTGTCCTCAACTTCAACCCTCACTTCGAGATTGAGAAACACGACTGCAAGTAAGCGCCTGATTCCCACCCTCCCCCTGTCCCAGGCTCCCGCCCCTTCTGCTGCCTAATGGCAGCCCCCCTAACCCACCTCCTGAACAGGGGCCCCAGAGGGAAACCTCGAGATGACATTGTCTTCCAGGAGAAATAAAGCCTTAGGGGATCCCATAGTATGGAGGAAAGAGCCTTCTTGAGTGAAGAGGGTAGAGAAGCGCACCCTGTCTTCAAAGTGGGTTGTGGAGGAGAATCCCATCTAGGGGCCAGGGGTAGACTGCACTATACCAGCTCTTGACCTTGGGATTTACTTTCCCCTTGGAGCTCTCCCCATTTCCACCACTGCCACCACGTGTAGAAGCCCTACGAGCTTCTCCCCATTTCCACCACTGCCACCACGTGTAGAAACCCCACAGAACTAATACCAGGTCCCCACAAGGAGACTTCCTCAGCTTCCAGCCCTGGAGGATGAGGCTGTTCTGTTGTGAAGCGGCCGCTGGTTTCCTTACAGAAAGAGAGTGAAAAGTTTGAGTCCACACTTGGAGGTTTAAGCTTCGCACTGATTCTTACTACGCGTGCCGCATGGGTTGGAGTCTCCAAGCTGGTTGTACGGGTTTATGTCACCGACACCGTTCTAATTGCTTTACAAGTATCCCTCCGTCCTGCCCTCCTGGTGGCCCTGGGACATTGGTGTGGTCAGGGCTAACATTCTGCAGATGAGAAAACTGAAGCCCAGAGAGCCTCTCAGTCCCCCAAGGAGGCTTGGCTGGTCTCATAACACCAGTCCTGCTACCTTGGAAATGTGCAGCTTGGGAGATACCAAGTGGGCATTCAGACATCCATGAGTGCTTTAGAAACGGCTTCTCGACCCCACGGTCCCTTAAATGAAGTTGAAGGAGCAGGTAGCATTGCAATGTCAAGGATGTGCATGTACTTTGCACCTTCTAGTGGGCTCTATCCGAAAGTCTTTGCTCGTTGAAACAATAGTGTGAGTTTTCGGTGCAGAAAAGAACATAGCGATGATCACATCCTGCTCCAAAGGTGCCCCAACGATGTGCCACTGGGTGTTCAGTGTCCCGTTACGATTCCTAAACAGTCTGGACATTCCTTGTGACCGAGGTGTCGCAAAGATGGAAAAATTCATAAAGGGGCCAGCTGGCGAGAAAAGTGCAAGGGAGCAGGCCTACCTCCAGGCTCACGCGTCCTCGTGGAGGAGACAAGGCCCGCCCTTGAACCAGGGCTAGACTGAGAGGCGGTGAATTGATGTTGTTGTTATCCTCCTAGGACTACTTCACGCCTACATAATGGTTTTCTCCTAGCAAGAGGTAGTCTGCGCTGAAAACCGGAGGGTGTCTGGGATGGCTGCCTCATGTGATGAACAGTCATAAGACGGATTTTCTAATCCCAGATCTACTCTTGACTCAGTGGATGACATAGGGTAACTCATCAGTTCCTCTTTGCTTAAGTTAAAATGCACAGCCTGATACACTCCTACAGCATCTCAGTCCCGCTGAGTCCCGGCAGGGGACTTCAGCAAGGGTTTCTGGCAGAAGAGCTCCTGTATTGGGTGTTTTTGCAGCCCAGTGCCTTTGGCTGGGCTGCAGGAGGCTGGCACAGACTGGAGCCTAATGCACAGGGAGCTTGGGTCTGAGCTCAGAGAAATTTGACTAAGCACCTCTGTCTACCGAGGGCCAAATTCTGTTATGCGTATGCCAGCAAATCTCCCAGGGAAATTGCTAAGAGGTCATCTTATGTATATTCAGAGTGGCAGGACAGGAAGGCATGGCTTTTGGAAGGAAGAACTCGGAGCCTAGTGAGCATGGCTTAACACATGTTAGGGAACTAAGCAAGGCCAGGAAAACATGCTCTTACCCTGTTTGGGGCCGCAGGGTCTGCCTTCCCCCAGCCAGGACTCAGCCCCCTGGGTGGGGAGAACTCAGGTTGCTGGAGTCTCCGGCAGCAAAAGGGGACAAGCTCTTGCTGGACTTGGAGTAGGGGAAGCAGAAAAGTTGCACGTTATCTTCGGGCTTATAATCCTTACTAAGCAGCTTCCTGTTTTTCTCCCCACACCCCATGGATGCTTCTGGCTTGAACTGAAAAGGTCAGGAAGGTCAGAAAAAAAGTCTTTCTGGGGTCTCTTTTCCCCAGTGCCACGTTATCAGAAAGGCTCTGCTGGGGTCAGGCCTCCACTACTTAACCTCGTCCTTAATTCTCTCTCCCTCCCCCCTTTCCCCTCTGTTCCCCATTTCTCTGTCATTCCTGTTGACTCTTGTATGTAGAAAGACACTCCCGGTTCTCTCCATCTCTCACTCTGCAAGGTATTTTTAACATTCTTCCCTGGCCATTTGCATTCAGAATAAATGAGCTTCTCCTCCCCCACGGCCTTGTACCACTAGCTGGTGAGAGGAACAATTAAACTTATTGAAGTGTTCGAAGTTCTGTCTGGTGCCTTCTCTCTCCCCCTTCTGTCCTTTTCAGTCCAAGGGAGCTCCTGGGTTTGGAAAGCGCTGACTACCAAAGGAAATTAGACTCCTTTCTCTTTTCATTTCCGGTGCATGTTTTGAATTGGACTTGGCTCTCCAGGCTCCTAGCGGGGATGGATGCTTACCAAGGGAAAACCGCCTGCACTGTCCTCCTCCTGACAGGGCACAGCAGCAACACCCCTGCAGAAAGGAAAGTGAGTAAGAGCACCAGGAAGCAGCCAGCCCCACACTGGAGGAAGGGCCGGCCGCGGACAGCACCATCCCCTCCTCACATCTGTGGGGGTAACGGGCAGAGGTGGCCCCGAGATCCAGGAGCAGGCCCGGCCCGGAGCTCCCTGGGCCCTTGGCTCTCTGTGTCTTGAAATCCTCAACCCAAAGGTGGAGCCCCTGAAAAGTAAACCCCAGACAGGCCTTTTGCCTTGAACAGCCGCTTGTCCGTTTTGTTCCACCGAAGCCTGCTGTCTGCTTGGAAACTTTCCCTCACAGCCCCAGCTCTGCCTGAGTCAGCGCGGTCCCAGGCCACCACCATCTGTGGGGAGCTCTCTGACTCCTCCCTCGGGCTGTGAGCAGGAATCCAAACCCCCAGCACCCACAGGCTGCTCTCTGTGGGCAGAAACCAGAGGCCCCCGTGGCCTGGCCACGTAGATGTGGCCAAGGGACCAAAGGGCAGGACTCAGGGTCCTCTGAGGGAACAGGGAAGAACCACTCATTCCCTGTGGTGAGGAAGAGGGTACTACTGCTTTTCCCCTGAGTCAGCCAGCAGTAGGCGGGACACTAGAGGGCTTTGGGAACATATGTACACAGACTTGAATCTTTTTCCATTTCTGAAATCTAAGATACATGCGTTTTTTTTAAGAACACCCACCTGCATATGATACACAACTTATTCATGAGGCCTCAGACCAGCATGGCCTCCCTCCCCAGCCCAGAGGCCCAAGGGAAACCCAAACCGAGAGTCTGGGCCCTGTTAAGAATTGGTCACTTCCAGATGGGTGTCTCGGAAAACATGCTTCACCAAGTGTGCAAACCACTAGGAAGACCTAAAAGAACATTTCTTGAAAGAACAAAAAGCCCACACGAAGTTTATGCGAGTGATTTTAGGCATGCGTTCGGCATCTCATTTTCCACGGGAGAGCCGTGCTCCGTCCAAGGGAAATGTTTAGATACTCGGACCTACTCATTTAGAGTTCCACAGTCCTCTTTTGAAAGGATTTCTAATAAAGAACATTCTAAATCCTGTGCCACACTTCCCTGTCTTCTTAAGCAAAACCAGCAGTAAGGGGAGTCAACTTCTCCTTCATGATTCAGGCCTCTAATTTCAAATTTCGCTTTTTGTGACCCAGGCCAGGTTTTGTCCAATTTGGATCCCGAGAGATTGAGAGTTGAGTTTTTGTTGACCTTCTAAACTTCCCAGGCCTCAGTTTCCTCACCTGCAAAGCTGATCATAAGTGCTTCGCAAGATTGCTGTGTCTTGTTTGTGTGGATACGCAATGAATTAGCAACCGCATTAACACCGTTGTCCTTTGTCAGGGGAAAGTCTGTGACTTTTTCCTGTCAGTACTCTTGCTGTCACTTCCTGTGAGGTGTATGCCTGCCTCCCGGAGCCGCCTTCTTCTGACTTGTATTACTCTTTCATTGTGTTGTACGGATATTGCTTCCGGAGATCTTGCTGTCCATTGGGAAGTTCTGGGTCTGGGGTCCCAGCTCTGCCCGAAGCCAGTGTCATCCAGGGCCAGCATGTCTGCTTGGCTTCAGTCCGCCAAGCTCACGGTGGAGCAGGCTCTGAGGCACACCCCCATGGACAGAGTGTGAAAAGCATCAGTGCACAGAATCCTGGCACCAGCTGAGGTCCGCAAGATCTTTTCTTTCTATTTTTTTTAAAGGTTTTATTTATTTATTTGACAGAAATCACAAGTAGGCAGAGAGACAGGCAGAGAGAGAGGAGGAAGCAGGCTCCCCGCTGAGCAGAGAGCCCGATGTGTGGCTCGATCCCAGGACCCTGGGATCATGACCCGAGCCGAAAGCAGAGGCGTTAAGGAACTGAGCCACCCAGATGCCCCCTCAAGGTCTTTTCTGAAATCATCCTCCCAAAGCCCACCCATGTTCTGAATACTGGAGGTTTAGGGATATTTGGCCTTTAGCTAAGTGTGCTGGATAAACAAGGAGCCCCTGTATTTTTGGCCAGAGGAGCTCTTTAAATCTTAGACTTGCCTATTTCTCCCAAAGTAAGGGATGATATTCTAGAGAGGCAGCAGCTTCCCAGGTTGATAAACTGATTATGGTCTACAGAGGGAATGGACCAGATCTCAATAATCTAGCCCCTCCCCATCCAGCTGACAGCAACTTCTGTGCTCCGTGAGCATCCTCCATTCCAAGCAAACAGCCAAAGAGAACCTTATATCTGCACGAGACCCTGTGAGTGCCCAGTGCTTGGACCCTCCTCCTTCTCCCCTCCACAGGGACCAGCCGCACACTCCCTTCGTCTTCCCTTCTGTTTCCTTGATTCTCCCAGTTCTCTTTTATGGTTCCCAAGGT